ATTCGGAATAACTTACCTATGCGACCACGTAAAGCGGATTATGGTGCTGCATTAGGTTAGAGGGATCAAAGACAGATATTTAAGGTGTAAAACCTTGTGCTTAATTAAAACGTAATGCTACATATCAAAACTCGGGTCTGTTCACAGTTGAAACAAGTAACAGTGGCATGACAGCTGGCCTCTTGTACTACGGTATGACTCCTTGGGTTACCACAGTCAATGCGTCCATTCCAACAGCGCACTACAACGAATCAGCCTTCACCGGAAGATTCTGCTCAGTGTATTCTTCGGGACATCACAACCTCTATGAATATGCCCTCAACCTCACAATAGAAATGGAGCGAAACCATCAACAGACACGTAATGCTGAGAAGCAGTTAATGAATTCTATGTGCACTCAACGTAAGTCAAGCTAGATGCTTGAATTTGCGTTTTTTTTTTCTTCTAGAGAAAATCCAAAGCCTATAAGACCAATATCCAAATCTAGAGGTGATCAATATAGCAGAAAACTTTGCCGTAACACCTACAATAAACGTGTGATTCTACAAAGCTAACAACGAATTTCATTATCGGAAATACGAGCACGAACGACAGACGCTACTCAAAGCTAAGCTGTTTTAGACATGACTACTCCGGAATAGTTTCGAAACCTCTATGTACAAAAGTTCGTAGGTTCACCTTAGGTTTCTATTATAAAAATGATACAGCGTATCGTCATCCTATCCATTTTGTATCTAGCTTTATACAGTTAAATACAACCAATGTCAGAGCTTTAGCAAGAGGGCACATTTTCTAGGCGAAATTTCACCTAAAGAAATATGATCACCTAAAAAATGATGATTTATTATCAGACTCAGAAATTATTCTGTCTATGAACAAAACGATTAACTAAAAGGCCAACAACCTTTATAGTTCTTCAACAACCAAAAAGCATTCTTGTAGATCCACGACCCAAACACGGTAGGCCTGAGATCGGGTTTGCATAGCGGTTATCCTCATTTCTTCCAGCACAAGTATTTTGATAGCCTTAATTGCATAGCAATTGCATGAAGATACAAGAGAAACCAACATTGTCTTAGAGACAAATCCCGTTCTCTTCTTTTACCCCACATGTACGCGCATACCTATATAACTATATATTGCATGATACCGATTGGATGACCCCTAATAAAGAAATTTCCTCATATGATTATCGTTACGGACGCCTGTGCAGGAAAGATGGCTAAAACAAACATAGTTTGGAAGTGCTTGTACATCGATAATACAACTGGCACAGCCTCCAAGCAACCGTATGCAACAGTAGTAATGGCGGTAAAAAAACAAAGGCAAGAAAAGTTTTTAATGCTGAGAACTGTTTCTATTTATGTGAACATATCGTTAACTCATTCAGTGTTCTAAATAGCGGTGTACTAGAGAATGACAAGTTTGATACCGTCGATAAAGGTAGGATACTACCAATCGAATTTTATTATTATAGAAGTAGAAAATAATTAACAAATTGATTGATGAGCCGTTCAATAGCTTACTGCCTTTACGGAGGCAGTTAGCACTTGCATGTCTCTCTTAATGAAGTTTTTCATCACAAATATTGAAAAATGTCGTCGATGCCCAGTGTAAAATCCATTAATCTATGTCGTGATGAGTGCTTCAGTATTAGATAATATTTCTAACTCGTCTGTTACGCATTTCCACAACAAAAAAAAATCGAAGTCCGTGAGTTCGAAGAACTCTATGCTTAACAATTTAAACACTACGGTCTGTGTCGCGATAAAAACTGATAGCTCGACCTTAAATATGGTTGTAAAACGGACTAATCGACCTATAAATCTACAGAATGACCTTTTGAATTTTAGTTACTTTGTTTATTTGATATTAAATACTTATAACAACAAATTAGATTCTGAAATCGGACAGTGCCTCCATTTTGTAGTTTTTGTATCCGATGTCCTTACTCGGCGGGTGCTAGTCACTCAAGAAGGACGCCTCATTTTTTTTGGCATAGTACTTTTTTTTTAACAAGAACAACGCAAATAATGCACCAGATGAAGAGCTCGATAAGCGTGCGCATATTTTGCGAACAGATTGCAATCTGTTATAAACATATTATTATTATTATATTACATATTAATTGGTAGAAATGTTTTCTCTGTTAAAATTTTGAACCTGTCTCCATACAGTCAACGACGTTCTCCTCAGTGTATCCAATGTGCCACTTTCATCCTTCGAAAATCTGAATTTCTGTTTGCATTTTCAGCTCTGTACAAACGTACCTTCCTTCAAGGATGCAATTTTTTGTTTGACTTCCATCGACGTGTAGCAACGAAGAGGCAACGGCGTTTGACATACTGCATGTACGAGAATTTCAAAATAAATGATGCATTTTAAGAAGGAGAACCGAGCTGACAATTAGTTTACTGAACTCGGCGATTATTCTGTATACCGGAACATGATAAATATCAAATCGATAAGATAACGAATCAATAACTGGTTTCTATAAAAAAACATCCAACCAGCCAATGTTCCTACACGCGTTTCATTGACAAAAAGCGAATTCTCTGAACAAATTACACGGGAAGTCTGTGAAGATTATTAAAGACTATATGACATGACTCAGATGCCACCCGATGCACGTTTTCTGTCTATTCCCTTTTAGTGGTAAACAAATGACCTGTACATCGAAGCACATGGATACACAATCTCTAATAGACGGAAGCAAACGATCAGCGATCCACTATGTACTGATACATTCGTTCTAAATATCAGTGAATCTCTGTTGGATAGAAGGTGGCCAAGGACAAACAGCGCTTAGAATCGAGTTATATTTGCTGGGCAAAGATAAGCTATTTTTAGCCGATAAGACTCTAGACAGCCGTCATTTGTACGGCTTGACACATCTGCCTACTATCGTTGCCCTATGCTAAGGTTCGAGATTCAACTTTTTCCAGCTAGTCACGATGGTGTCAGCTTCCAAGATTAAAGTGTTGGTAAGGCTAGGTAAAACAGCATGTCCATGCAATACCATGCGTTAGATTCTTGTGGTCTCTGCAGCTTTCGATAAAATATACATAAAGTGCTTTTATAGCAAATCAGCAGCAATGATGCCAACAGCATACATAATCGCGAAAATAGCTATTTTCGAAAAGAAATTAACCTGGACCACGGGACGACAGAATGCATGAAAACCTTGAATATTGTTGTTTACAAGATAAAGGTCAACAAGAACATTGCACGTTGATTATGTGCTTACCGTGCATAAAATTATGCGAAACCATAATCCAGCGCGTGTGAAAATCGCGTAATGGTACATTTTCGCGTACAGGTGCCGTTGGCTGTATGTCCTCGTACAACAAGTACCTTCTAGTACCAGTAAGCGAAAAGTGTCCAATGCTTGCGTTCTTAAATGGACTTAAAGGGGTCGCCGTGGTCGTACGTGCTTTACGGTGGATCATAATTTAACGAAAGGATTCCACTTTCAGTTAACCGTTCAGGTAACCGCCATCACAAATTCGAATGTGAAGCTACGTCATGTGTCTATTTTCGAAGTCCACCTTCACAAAATTGCTTTAGCAATGGATGCAGGAGCATCCTCGAGATGTTCAATTTTAACTGTCCGTTCACAAATGAAAAATCTGTTGCAACAATAAAACGCTGCATTCCAATTTGTCTCTAGCCTGGCTATGAATTTGGGTCTAGTAGGCGTAAACCGGAAAGCACCACTCTGCTCAATAAACATACTTTGTCTATTGAGCAGAGTGGTGCTTTTTTTTTGCTAAATTTTTTAGATACTCTCAAGAAAGGATTGGATGCGATAAAATCTGTGTTCGGGCAAATAGCTTCCAGTGGAGAATCTCTCAGTGACGACGTTCTTCTGTATTAAGTGCGTACACCAGGACAAAAAGGACCTAATTGATGTTGCAAATGCATCCTCTAGGAGATCTGCTATTAATTTCCATGTCGCCGAAGACCAAAAACTGTGACGATCTAGATAATAACGGAACTCGAGCACTAGGTACTAGGTACATAAGTAGTGTACACTCTTATTTTCATCGTATTACTTGGTAAACGAGGAAGCGAACTAAGTGTTGCAGCATTTTAAATGAATTGATCCTATTCTAGTGATAGATTGCTAGCTGCCTTTTCTAAACCAACAGTTTACTACGCGTTGCTTTTCGGAGTACTGGTTCAGAATTTGCTTAAAAGTTGGCACTTTAGCTATTTTTTTTTAAATCTACAAGGTACCATCAGTAACAAAGCGCTGTTAAGCTCAATTTTACTTCGATGTTTACAACTTTTGAGGGATTTCCTGGATGAAAAAACATAACAATCGTTCATTATCTAGTTCACCTAAAATAAAGTTTGCCCGGTTTTAATGCTCCCCGTTTTTCCTGAAAATAAGTTATTGCTAATTAGATCACATCGAAGTCGTTGTATGTTCAACAAAATTAAATTTCTAAGTTATTAAAATATAAAAGATATACATATCAAGTAGAGCTTAGCGTGAGAGCTACATACATACGGATGAAAAATCCTGTCACGGTTGTCGTTTTCGGTTATGTTTGAAAATGCTTCCTGGCGATAGAGGTGAGGCAAATTAATATCGAAAAAATTCTGATAGCAGAATTTTCAAGTCACTATAATCGAATTGTTTGTTTCTGCAGAATACAATAGGAAGTTGTTTTACAAATATAGAATTTAAGGGATCGACTTCATTTTAATAATAATAATATATTAACGAAACGAATAGGCACAAATGTGCCTTCTAAACGACACGAATTGACACGCGCATTTTATCCGTCATTCCATCACTATTTTATAGTATTTATAAATATCATACCAGCTGCGCATATCTGCATTAGCCATTTACATATGAAATTATGTATTTCGTCAGATTAAGGTCGAAGTCTGCATCGTGAATTCATTGTGACGGTTCCCTGCTAACCTATGGCCCTCTATCAGCCTCAGTGGTCTCCTCACGACCCGTGAAATCGGTTTATATGACGATCCTTATACGGCGTTATCTGTGACCGAGGCTTCTTTTCGTTACGGTCACGCATTTCGCCTGCGTGGTATCAACCTGGGCCGTTGAGCAACAATTGACAATCAGAGCTTTTACATATACAAGCATTCATGCACCTAAATTTGTCGCAGATCAAACTGTCTATAACTGAACGTTTCCCTTATACGATGTGCCATATATAGTGTAAAATTTGTCTTATAATACGTGTAACCATTTTAAGCTTTTATATAATGTATCGTAATCAGCTGAATGAACTGCTGGAATTAAAAGCATTTGACTGTTTGTATTTGTGTACCTTTTTCAGCGTTGGTATCATTCTTGGTTTAGGTCGGCGGACATGCAGATGTTCGCTGCAATAACCATCTTTGCTTTGCTGATGCTAGTTGAATCACTTTTGCCCTTTTCCCACAAAACTGTATACGAATAGCGCATGGAAACACTCAGCCACTGACGCAGAATACGCTTTCAAACTAAAATTCTACGGTAAAGTATTTGATTCAATCAAATATCTGCTGATAAGAAGCATACGCGATAGTGATAGTCAATTATATTTTTTAATTCAAATATTTCCTCTTCTTTTTTTCTAATAATTTTTCAGAGCTTCGAAATGAACGTTTATATAGCTCGACGTGCTCGTCGCTTTTAGCTCTTAATGGATTGTGCACACATACATAACAGAGAGCAATGTCTTGATACTGTCTTCGAATCTCTTCGATCCGGTGTGGCAGTAAATACCCAAAAATTTTCTCTACTTAAGTCGGAGAAAATTTTATTCAAAAAAATACTTAATGCAAAAACCAAAAAATCTACTTTGTGCATTTTTTTGTAAAGTGAGCTATATGTATGTACACAGAAGAGAGAAATAAAGAGCTGTGTTACAATGTCGTACACTTGGAATGAATTCTACAGAGACATGAATATGGTGCAAATAAACACCGTAACACATGTCGGTGATTTTGTCTTTAGGATGTTCGCTGGCGCCTATAAAACGGTAAAAGTACTAAACATGTGAGTTCCAGTGCGTTTTTCTTATTTAATTATTATAACTGCCTTTCTGCGCTTGATGTATTCGTGATACGGAAAATTTACATAAGAACTGCTCATCAGTTTCTAATCAGCGAAGTTAGCACATGGGCCCCAGCCTTTTTTATGGGTTTACTGAGTGATTTATGGGAGAGGCAAACTTAAAATAAAAATATTTTATAGCTTAAACTATAATGCATGGGCAGGAGCCTTCTGAATAACAGAAATTCGAATGCATTCTGCTTGTCTTCAAAGCTCAGGCCGTTTCTCGTGTATTAGGTAGTTTTGTGTGTTTTTATCAAGAAGTTGAGCTGGCGTGTCAGCGTGAAACCGCTAGCCATCTTCGAGGTACAAATCCATCAGTTTTTTTTTTTCATTTCATTATATTCGTAGCTCGGTTGTACGCCATAGATGAGCTGTCATCAAAATTAGACTCGAATTTTCGGTCTCTGATCTCTTATAGCCAGACACATTGGAATTTGAAAGTTGTGCTCCCTACAATATGCCATCTCTTAGCAATACTCCGAAGAACGTCTATCTTAGAAAAAAAAAACAATGACTAAAGGTACAGCTTATTAATCAATGAATATGTTTAGAAAAACATACTTCTTTAGCACATACACGTACGAATCAGATTATAGTTGAAGCTAGGATAGCCAAAAATGACAAACGAGTCCTGCCAGTTTGATTAATACATAAGACAGATTCCGAAGCATCTGTTCTGTTCCTATTAACAAAACCTAACAATCTTATTCTGTTCAATGCTTGTCAAACAGCCTGTGTTTTTCTGTGTTATTTTACCTAACAGGGGGCAGCACTTCTCGTCAACCGACGCCACGCTGGGTCGAGCTGGCTTATGCCGGCTTCCACCGTGGGATATGGTGATTTCATGTAGTTCATTGTTTCTTCTCATTGTTACCCACAACTTAAGAAGTGCTTCAGTCGTCACGCGAAAGTACTATCATTTGTAGCCTACTCTTCATGCTAGATAACGACGAACAGTTCGGAATAGTTCTACGTTCACTATTGCACTTTATGCTTTAGAGTGGTTATATCACGCATCCTATCGTGTTCTCGTTGTTACGGGCAAACTCTCGTTTGGTATATATCTATTTACATGGGAACGAACACGACCTATGTACAGGTAGCCCACGCGTAAATGTTTCTAATAGCTTTTGACAACATTCGTTGAATAGGTTGGAAGACTCAGTTTTTTAAAATTGCACTTTGCACAAACACTTAATGAGCTAAATAGGACAATCTAGTTACATTTTACAGATTAGTTTGCACGAAAAATTATTCTTTGCATGGACCTATTCCCATGCTATTTGAGGCATAGTCTTATAAAAGAGTTGAAGTCTAAAAGAGATTGCGGCGTCGTTATAAATTAAAGGAACATTACTTGCCAGCTTCTTTTGTCAAGTGATGAATTATTATGATACTTATGGTACTTTTTCGTTCTAGATGTGCACCACTGTTGGTAAATTACGAAATCAGCCTATGCCTATCGTACATTCTGTACATGCGTATTAATTGCTCTTCGGGTCGTGAAGTACGCTGCACAATCACACAGCAGCTATCTCCGAAGTCATGCAACAAGCTAAAAAAAACCACAGACTCAAACGATTTGCTTTATATTATTAAAATCGACCGCAGGACAAAACTACAGATAAAGCAATTAAAACAAACAAAACTTTATTCATTTGAAACTGATTGTGTTGCATGAATGATATCTGTGAATGATCGGCGGTACCTGCAAAATTTTACATATTATTTTCAGGCGTACTTTATCGTATTAGAATCTACTCGAAGATGTGAACTGGGGAGTAAGTTAAAGCTACTGATTACAGCTTCGTGACAAAGTTATTTCGGAGCTAGAAACGGAGTGCGTCGAGCCGACAATTACGCAAAACGAATAGGGATTTTTTCGAGAATTTAGCACGATACCAAGAACGAATCGCCTATGCTTATGTTGACGTATGCCTGAATACGTAGGCAGGGCATGGAAGTAGTTGGCAGTAACTGACACACATTTACGCGTAATGTCGCACAGCTGCTTGAAAGGGTTTTGCGAGCGGCTGAAAGCGAGTTGACCAGGTTCGTCCACAAATAAGTCGTGCTTTATACTCCACAAAACGTTATTATTCGAACTGCTAAGAGTCCGGATTGTAGCAATGGATGTCACATGGCTTTAGAGGTCACGATGATCGAATAGCCAATAGCTAGCGGCGCGCAATTTTGAAACAACCCAGATACAGGATACAAATTACTACCTTGATTTCGCAGTATGTCGGAAATAGCTTGTACCTTTCTACTCAGCTCTCTTCTAACATTTTGCACCATGCATACGTTTGATAGCTGCCAAAATTTTTGATAGCGGATCTTTTTCAGCCTGAAGCGCAACCGATAGGCGTTCGCCTCTCATCTACAATCGTCTTCATCATGACTGTGCATGCCACTGAGATTTAGCCATTCTTAGCGTAACAAAACATAGCAACAAGGAACAGCAACAGGTAGACAGCAGTAGACATATTAGAAAGATCAACGTACCTAGCAAAGAAGAGCACAAACAAACGCCTTCGAAACCCATCCGGGTGATATCTCGTCTTAGTAAGTAATAATAACTTGATGTCGATCACCCGAGCGAATAATGTAATCTCTACTTAATCATTCGTCTTTGACGTGTGCCAGAGCTGCTGTTACCAGCAAGCTGCAGCGGCAGCTCGCAGTATTCATTCGCATGAGAAGATCGACAACGATGCAACTATTTAGGAACAGATAAGCTGGGCCACAGTGCTTCCGCGCCGTAAGCCCGGTGCGGCGTCCTGTCAAAGAAGACGTGTTTGTGCACTGATCAGGCGAGCGAGGATTGTCAATACCGCTGCAGGAACTTCATGTTCGCTTTGTTCTTGAGAAACAGACTGAGGACTCGTCTTCTCCGACGATGGTAACTTTTCGTGTGTTTTTTTCCTTTTGCTATCTATGTTCTAGACATAGACCCATAGTGAACTATTAAAAACAGGCATATTTCAGGGAAAACTATTCAGAATAGAAGTATTCTTGTTCGTGTCCTATTTCTACCTGTACACAAATTTATATTTGTGTTCCGGAGAATTACAGGGACATGTATTTTCGAAAATAAATTACCGATAACAACTATGAAAATTTTGCTTCACTTGAAGAATACTCACGAGTACGTGCTCTGGGAGAAGGTAAAACGTAAGTTCCTGGTCGGGGATTCAAAGTGTAGAGCCTTGTACGAGATACGTAAATTGGCCTTTCATCTAAATTACCTTTAATATAGTGTAGCAATTCATTCATGTAGTTTATTACAGGCCAATACGTTATGGACGTTATGTTGACAGACGTTAACGTTATGGATTACCTCTGAAAAAGTCATAAAGCAATTCGTTAACTCTTAAAAAACACATGTCCACATGTTAGGCCGTCTTTCTTTATGTATTATATCAAATGTATCGGGCAAAGCTAATATTGGCTCGTTCAAAACATAGCTACTGAAATTCTAGGGTGGCAATTATGGTATTCAACAACGTCAGACAAAACGGTTGCTTCTTGAAAGTTTCACGTTAATGTACGATGTAAAGGAACAATATAGATAAGTGATTGATACATCTCTGTTTGGGTATGCCTTTAATCAATGCGATAAGTAGCTTTTCTAGATTTAAACCTAAGACTTTCAATAGCTAGACAAAAAAAAAACCCTGTATTTCTAGTTTTACGTTCGACATCAGCGTTAGGCATTTCACCGTAAGATTGGTTCCCAGCGTTCGAACCTATACAATAACGTGTCTCTAAGACGTGTCGCTCAGATCCTCGCACAGGCAAAACTCTATAAAAAAAAAAAAACATTTTATGGTCGTATCCAGTATTCCAATTCCTTATTAAAATTTTAAAAGCAAGCATAGCTAAGTCTTTCCAGTCACGTTACGAATCATCTTTACTTTTTGAAAGCTGATTTATCAACAATCGCCTAATCAATCAATTAAGTACTTACTTGAGAAAAAAGCATACACTGAGACGCTGTATATTAAAGTACTACTAACAGTGTTACCTAATGTATACCACAATTATTATAGGCAAGAGTCAGGTGACAAAAATTGCAAACACAAAAAACTTATGATATTTGTGAACTTCGATTATTTTCTCTGATTTGAGATATTTTTTAGCGGACAACATTCTCATCATTTATTTATAGCTGTATTGTTGTGTTTTCATGACAAAATTGCTATCGGGCTAAGATGCGCTAATACGAAGCCATGGCGTCGCTCCCGGTAGGTAGATCTAAGAAAAAGGCTTACTTAATTGTCTGAAAACATAAGCATCCTTGTACGGTTAGGAAGTATTCATCAAATGCATGAAGGCCAAATTCTAAAACAATTCTCGACGTACACCTGATATTTGTGCCAAAAAGCAAACAAGATTAATTGTTAGAGATACATTTCCTTCAAAATATTTTCTTTAACAGCATGTTATCTCAAAAATGATCATCACGCAGTATCTTTAGTTCTAGAGATATAGTATCTCAACACTAGTTTGCAGCAAATTCCCATAGTGTTCGTCAGACACGTCGTCACGGGCTGTTGAACGTAACTTGCAATTATCTACGACAGTACTCTATTGACGGCTTCTTAACGAGAGCCAACTTTCCCCCTCGTGAAGACGAGGGGTTCTTGTTAACAAGGGCGTGTCGACGTTTACTTCGTTTCGCCTGCCGATGAAAACCCGCTGCAGCGCTAATGTCCGCTCATTCCTGGATGTGCAAACCTCTGACGGAGGATCAAAGAGCTGGCGAAGTTCTTCATTCCAGTTGAGCATCAGATAAATACGTGGCTGTACGGCTCGTTGGGAGTTTCCAAGTGTGTCTAGGTTCATATGGTTGTACCTACTGCTTGAACATTTGTTTCCCATCAGGCTGTGGCATTCGGTGAAGGCATAGTGTGTTGAATTGCCTTTGAAGTGGAGTAACGTATTTACCAGTTTGCAGATGGCTTCAAATAAGTTGCTCTTCGTCTATGGGGTCGTTGTATTAGTTTTCTTCAGAATTATCTTCACCGGCGTAGAAGGTGCTACGAGCGAAAAGACGAGTGAGTACTTTGCTGACGTGAGAATAAGGCCTGAGGATTTAAGAACGCGGCCTGATTTCTCAAATGAGACACGACAAAGCATAGAATTAAACCATAAAGCGGCGGCGGCGGCTTACGCATACATAGTCTTGCGGGTGATATAGAGTAAATCAGCCAAATATTTTCAGAGAACTAAGAACTGTGACTTTGTATATTGATGCGCTTTTTACTGAGTTTTTGTCGCATTTGCATTTCAGTAATACGTGAACGCAAATCTTTCAATACAGATTCTTCTGCATTGTATGTAGGACATAAGGCTAGCAGAGATCGCACTTACTGAGTTATGCTTAGGCCAAGTTTGCAAGACACGTATGGCTTCTCAAATTTTCGTACTCACTCGGAATTCAAATAAAGTAGATCGTCAGTCAATTATCTAGTTAGAAGCCATCTACATGAAGCTTCTATCTCTCTTTATTGACTCTCGACCTCCGTTTTAATTTTATCATTTCAATAGTGCGACAAGTATAATAATTACCGGTGTACTTATAAAAACATATTCCTTATTAAATGGAACTTAAGTATGAGCGGCAAAACAGACTTAAATAATTAACTTCCATCTATCTAAGAAAAAAATACATCATAATTTCATAAGCAGGTAGCTCCATTGAGAAAAGAGTGCGTGTGACCAGCCCATTGAATAAACAATTTAATGAAAAAAGATATATATACCAGATAAAAAGCCCGTCTCCTAAGCCACTTCATTCAGAAGGAAGCTATCATTACGTTACAGATATAACATAATCTAAGTGAGATACGTACGAACACATGTTGTTACGTCGAATTGTAAATGCTCTTCCTTCGCTTTACAGAAACGGCAAAGCAAGAAGGCCAAGTAATGTTCGACAATCGTCAAATCATTCCCGGGTGGGGCGGCCCCATCGGACCTTGGGGTGGTTGGGGAGGAGGCTGGCCGTGGTACGGAGGCATAAGTACGGTGATGTTCGCTGCGCTCATCTATTCTCTGTCCGTCCTTCCGGCCATGATGCAACTTTTTAGTAAGTTTACCTTAAACTTTCATTAGACATCCAACAAACACGCGCTATTCACGTCTCTAGTGCCACTGATAACAGAGTGGTAACATGATTGCCTACTAAACTTAGGGACTCGCGATGGCCTAGGTTCTATCCGGGCGCAGAAACAGTTTTTTCGTTCTGCAATGCCTAACGCCGAAGCAATGCCTAACGCTTTAAGTGCTGGAGGTAAAACTTAAAACATTAAATTTACTCACATCTTTGAATATACTCGCATTACCCATTTCTATAAACATGTCCCTCTCGGACAAATGAGGACAATGTGTTAAATTTCGGCATCTGTTCTTGAAATTAATGTTTTTAAAGATCTTCTCAGGTGGATACCTTGTTCGAGTATATTCGATTCAAAACGAATGACACCCTCATGGTATATATTATTTAACCTTTAGTCAACCTCCTCAGTTACTTACTCTATTAAGATTGACTACCTTGATTACAAACGTTCCAACAGCGCTGTTCAGTGCCAGTTCCAATATTCTTCTACCGCCAGGACCGTTTTAAGGACATATCGCGTTTCAGATCATTACCATTCGTACCACCATCACGGCCCACCACATCGAAGCCCGGTATCGAACTTTGTACACGGATTTCTGGGAATCAAGCGGCGTAGTGATAACGGAGGTGACGAATTTGACTTACCAGACACGCTCCTGCGGGTGGCCTCTTCGGATACATTGGGACGTGGCCTTAAAATAGCAAAGAACATCATAACCGAATGGCCTGCCGCGTCTAACGACTGCAAGTATGTAGTACAGAGCAAATAGACATAAGGTAAATTCTTGAAGTAGTCACGTGCAAGTCTCGAGATGTAATAGGAAAACGTTTTTGGCCGTTGTATGATGCCTGACCACGATCTTGGTGGTAATACACAGAGCTTATGAGATTTTAATGTTTTCGTATAGCAAGCAGCCTCTAGAATACTAAAAGTAACCGAGGTTAATAATACTCTCCACTTTACCTCTTGATCTAAATTTTAGAGCAATGTATGTCTGTCAGCTAACTCGTGAGATCATAAGCTTGTCAACGAACGAAGGGGATTCGGAGAACGAGGTACGGCAAAAACGGGATACTGAAGGGCGTGGTGAACGTGATGAATGCGTGACCAAATTCAAAAAATGCCGCCGAGACGTACTTTTCAGCTAACTAGTCTGACCTGGTCTTCTGAATTGGTTTGATAGCTGCCGCCACCTACGAAATATTGTGCCTGACAACAACGACAGGATACTTGACCGTTAGATGCTTGTAAAGGTCGGTTAAATCTGCTAGTGTGATCCGTAGTCGCATCTAGTGCTCACTGAGATGAAAATTTTCCAGGCTAGGTACATATATATATAAGGGATGAATAACCTATACCCAAAAATTAGGCAGGAAGGCAAAACACCTGATTATTCATGGCCAGCGCTGCTGGCGCTTATTGTATCAAACTAGCATTAATTAATCATAATGACCTTTACAAACATATATACCGTCAATTGAGCAATGACCTTTGACGAAATATACACTAAATAAAATGCCATGAGCTATAAACTTGTGTATTTGTCCTTCAATTTCTTATCATTCGGCTTCAATTCCTACTTGAAAATCAAGTGTCTTAAGTTAAAGCAATACAATACTGAAATAATACTTGGCGCTTGTGCAGGAAAAACAGAAGCAATTAAGCAGAGTAATTAATCACTGTTTTCAACATGTCTTTTAGAAATACGACGTAGTAGAAGACGGAAAAACGTAAATGCACATAAAAAAACGCACTAGAGAAGGAATAACTGGAAAAATTATTGACAATTGTAAGGTTAAAAAATTACCGAGATCCAGAAACTCCCAGAGACATCTTCTATATGCAAGGTAAGCATGTTCAGTTCGAGCCTCTTAAGACTCTCTTGGAACGGTACGGCCAACTGTTGAATATCAGGGATACCAACAGTTTTGCCAGCACTACCGTTATGAAAAGACATTTCTGCAAACATTAAAGTTAGTGACTAAAGGTAAGCTTATCAAAGTTCTGAGGTGCGACGCGCGTTACTTTGTCTTCTATAAACGTCATCATAAACGCATAAAACGAATTAAGGCTATTATATAATGTTTCTTATGAATGCATCAGTTGGAACTCTAGTTTCTAAATGCATTGGTTTCAGCCGATTTCACGACCTATGCTTTATAGGCGTACTGGTAAAAAGGTAGCAGGCAGATCGTCCTGGTACCAAGTTCGCGACGCAATCGTAAGAACAATTTAGGTTAAACGTCAACTTACAAGTGCCGTAGAGAACGAACGAAAATATGTCATAAATATACATATGTTTGTCGTAATCCGGAATGGCAAAGACCACCTGGAAGACTTGACACATAACCTAAATACAATACGTCAAATACTTGTTGCGCTAATATCGGTAGTTACGGTATTCGATACAATCATGGCTAACACCAATTCACGAACACAAATTCAATAAACGATTTTTAAAAACCGATGAATCACTGGTACCACGTTAATTCGGCTGTAACAAACACGTCGGATCAGACAAAGCGCTGAATGACAAGACAACTGAATTGTCAGGTAACCTAAGTCTACGTCTTATTAAATCATTACCTGCTAATTTAAAGAAGAAAAATTATTCTATAGTTTAAGGATCTTCATGTTATAACTGTTAAAATAGTAACTGAAGGAGTGAATGGTTGAAAAGCGATTTTTCTTCAACTGAACTTGACGTTTGTTTACTCAAAGGTTAGCAATTCCCTTAGGCTACCATAGTCTAACATGAAATGGGAGGTAGACGAATTTCGGACGCATAAAAATGGTCCTTTATTTCATGCTTCAATTAGTAAATCTTGATTTGATTTAATTAAAGCTAGGTATTTTTTATTTCAAATGTTACAGATTCTAGATGAAGCAACAAAATGCTTAGCCAGATCATCTGGAAAAGGGCTATCTATTATAATAATAATAGAAATTGCTGTTTATAACAGTAGAAAAATGTACACACTTAGAGAACATTTTTAATCGGCGACCGAGTCACCAGAAACTTAAAGTAAATAAAATTAGATAACATTAACGTCATCCTATGACCAAAAAATGTATCTTGAAATAGATGCCATTGTACTTTCGCGTCCGGCATACATGTGACGAGGTGCTTCCTGCCTATATTCTGCATTATTGAAAAATACAATATCGGATCCAACGATATGACTTTCGTGAAAACTATTATTATCATTCTCTGTTATATCGGGATGTTTGTTGGAATCCGAACGAAGGGTACGGATTGCCGTCAGCTTATATATTTAACAGATTCACTTCCAAACTCTCACAAAATCTAGGTGACAACAGCTGGTAGAGTTCTGTTTTATGGCTTTGTCACCCAGTAGCATCGGTAGCTAGCTTTCACACTACCGAAACCTTGTAACCGGGGGTCACCATGGCTCTTCGTTCGTTTTTACTGCTTGAAGGTGATCTATACAGAGATCTACTGTTGCCTCTGTATAGTTAATAAGACACTGGTTGTGCAAAGCGATTATAATAATAATACGAAAAACACCTTGAATAGCAGTATTAGCAGTAGTGATAAATGCTCGCGAACGATTTTCAGATGGATAGTAAATTGAAAGGGGTGCAAAAAATGCGGGGCTGCATGCGGCCTACACCGGTCGGTTAAGCGTGTTATCCGATGTCTTTGCAAGCGCCAAGGCTGCCACACCATCGCCGGTGCCTCTAAGCACTGTTCATCATCTTGTAATGATACTGCACTAAAAGGCAGGTTCCAGTAGCTAGCAGCCCCACAGCTGCCATTTCGCCGTCTTTCTCAGTATTAAGGTATCACAACGAACCTAAGGTTCGACGTAAGCGTATTCGTGCGCGGGACAGCGTCGTCTCCGATTTGGGCTGTGAGATTAGATTGTCGCCGTTCCTGTTGTCGCGTGATCCATTGTGTACATCCCATGTGTACCCTATATCTTTTTCCCTCATCCTCTTTACCTAAAAAGAGACTCCTGATGAACAGTGACTCAGTCTCTTACTCAGCAGTAATAATGGCTGTAGCTCAGCTTGCTTAGTTATGCAACACCATTCGCCAAATCAAAAATGGCCATGTCCGTGCCTATAGCTCATTGCATTAGGCACTCCTCCTATTCCGATTACCGCCATCATCTCCTATCCGCTTCTCTACTCACGATAGATGAGAAGTATAGATCCATTTCTTTATCTGTACATATGTGGAGCACGGGCAAAGTCGGCCGATTTCATTTCTTTAAGGGGAAGCAGCAGGCCAATCAAATCATTTCCCGCACCTCCCTGTCCTTCCACACTCCCCGAAAAAAAGCTACCCCCAACGAACCCATTTTTGGGATTACCAGCTTCCTCTTACCAAATCAAGCTGTTCGCTGCTGTCGCTGTGTGCGCCGCTGGTCAGGCACGATTCACTCCAGCTCACTCCTGCTAACCTATAGACGTCGCTCGTCGATGCACACTTACACTAACTTCAATGAACGAATGTAAGAATAAGGTCCGCTCGCTAATCTGCCTGCTGATGCCGCCCTGACTATGTCTTTTTTCTGCCTTACTTAACTTCTTACCGGCACCCTGCGGGAGCTCCAGCCCAGATTCACTGCTCCCTTCGAATACCCTTTGGCGCTACTGATGAATCAAGGTGAGCCACAGAGCCTGTAGCGCTACTGCTGCTTCGGCCGGTGAGGAGACTGCCCAATAGCCAAAGGAAGCCACCGAGTTCGGCGGCGATTTGGCACCACCGGTGGCAACAGCTCAGAACACGCTTACGAATCTCAACAAACATCCGAGCGTTCGAGCGACCTTTCGCTCCTCGACGCGTAGCGACGCGGCCTGTATCTCATAACTGTTGGCTATCAGCTGACTCATTTGTCGCTTTCACACGCGACTGTGCTCCCTGAAACAGAGTTGTTCAGTGCAGATTTGAATCGACCTAGATTCTAGGGGATTCTTCAAAATCAAGGATACAAGATCCCTCTGTGTATAACCACCAGTTAAAGGTTACGGCGATTTTCACTCGATTAGCGTCGCTTTTACTTGAGTCCATGTTCGAAATAAACAGTGATGTACCTTACGTCTCAGCTGTCTTCCCCGTTCCGACAAAAGTCTTGCGAACGTCAATCTGACGTTTCTTCTTCACGAACGCACACGTCGTCCTCCCTTTTTCTGCCGTTAGCTCGCGTCACTTTCCGCGCTCTCTTCACGTTGCGCGTCGCGTTAACTGGCTAGCACAGCGCTAACATTGCACTGGCCAGCCATTGGTCGTCGATAGAATACTGCGCCTCGTTTTGGCGGGGCTCATTTACCTTCTGTCAGGAAACATCTAACCTGGAGCAAGCGTTTCTAGTTGCCGGTCTTTGCTTGGCATCTAGTTTTCTCCAAGAGTGAACGTAAACACTGGACCGAGAAGAGCGACGTCTTGTGGGTTGGTGTGTACTTTGACTGTGTAGAAGTTGGCTTTTTGGCCATTGGTGCACTCGCTTATCCAACGCTAGGCAGGCAGTAGCGGGGCGGACCGTGAAAGTTTGAGCACCGATACAGGAGCGCGAACAGTATCAGACTCGCCTGTGAGTCGAGTACGAGCTGAGATGTTGCGGCTCCAATTCCCCCAGCAGCGGCAGGCCAATCAGAGACAGCTCGAGCTTACTAACGACGGTGTTAGCAGCTGCTGCGTCCGTAAATATGCCTCTGCGCACAGTTATTATGGCGTTCTAAAAATTGGACCAGTCAAGAAGTCGGTGTGGCTAATGGTGGTATAGCCGTCGGTATTGTAGAGCGTTTTTCTGTGGAAAACTTTAAGAGTACAGCGAGCAACCGTCTGATAGGAGGAAGTCGAAAGCGGAAGTGCTGGTGTAAACCGTCAGCTCATTTCAGATCGAAGCCGACTGGGTCCCTATGTATGTTACGCCGTTTCTCGTCTCTGTTTGGTACCAAAGGCGCGATCAAGCAGCGCGGTCGCGATGCGTCGTCGTGCATTATGAACTGATGTTGGTGGAATATCGGTAATGGATTCGATGGTACTCATTAGATGCAGAGTGCTATTATAAGGTGATGTGGTGAACCTAAGCAAGACAAGACCAACGGCGAACGATTATCGCTTTTAGTGTTGACGTCGCCGTCGACAGTTCAGTGACCGCCGCTGCCGCCACCGCTGCCGCCAAAGTGTAATCGCAATAGCGCGCGTGTACAGCATTTCACGGCTAAACGCTGGCGGCAAGGCTGAGGCTGAAACGGTGAACTGCGCCAAAGTCAAGGGAGCTATTGCAGTAAGTGGTCACACTAATGTCGATTGTAATACGACGTCGACGTCTGTGCTACACTATTGCTGCTATTACAACCACGACTGCCACTACAAGTCTACTACGGATCGTACTACGACCACCAATCGCTATCTTGCCATGGATACGACCTAAGCAAGCCTGAAGACGACGGCCCTTGAGCAACTAGCCAAGCTGGGGCCGCCAAGGGGTAAGTATACGATCTCGCAACTGGTCCTTTAGTTTAATTGGTTGGTCGTTCGGTTGATGATGGAATTATTCAATGGTGGAGAAGGAGAGTTTGGTGACCTAGCAGCCATCCGTACGCCCATCAGTGCCCACAATAGATGGTAAAGGAATAGTGTATAATATATGGTGCGCTGCAACACCGACTGTAGCTGACGGAGTTAAGCTATTTCGTTGACCTGGAATATGGATGATCACAGTTCAGAATCATCCACATGTACACCGTAAACCGATGTTTGATAGGATATGTACAGGACATTTTGAGGATGCAAGAGTAAGTAAGGAACGTTCATGGGCTGTTTTGTTATCGATGGGTTCACAAATCATCAAGCCGTTTCGATCCTCTAAGCCCTCGCTAACCATCTGATCTGTCACAGATTACTGCTGATGTCATTTGACTTATCTGAATTGCTCTAAAGAACTGTAGGATGACGATGAAGACGGGCCCGGCCCTCAAGCACCGCGCGGAACTTCGATTGAAAAAGCGATTAGTGTTTTATACGTTATTATTGGACTAGATTAACTAGATTTTAGAGCTATTGCTGGTAATTACGGCTATTGCAGTTCAGATTTTATCTGTTAATTTGGAAACGCATCGTTGCATAGGCTATTACGCGATGATACGTACAATTGTATGCATATACTGCGCAAAGAAACCACACCTTCTATATAACGATGAGAGTATTGAGGAAGTACACAGAACTATCATGACATACATACAGTAGTACTTAATGTGATGGGCTTTAAGACCCAGCCTAGAGATTTGACCACTTAAAGATATGATTGACTCCGATGAATTATGGGTAAGATGTCGTTATTGAAAATGCAGCATTAATACAACGTTTTTACTGATTTTTATACTGTATCCCACTTAGCCCTATCTTTCCTAACCGGTCAGGGTCCTACATAACGATCTAAGAGGGTCTATTATAGTGACAAAAATCTAAATGAACGATGTGTTTGATCCGCTCGAATCTGGAGTAGAGACAAATTACCCAGTTCTATCCTACTCTGTAGTAGCCATGTCCCAAATACGGAGCAACTGAGAAGCATTGAAGTTTTAGCGGATCTCAGATCGTCGTGGACGTCATCTGGACAACAGCCTCCTGGACATTTTCCCTTCCATAGAGATCTCTCTACGCGCTGATTAGGTCGTGCTTAAGATATCAAGTCGTACGCCACTCAACGTGCTACATTCCCGTAGTAAGAATTTTATATTTCGTCCTGCTGTAGGCGACAAGCAAGAACTATATTCGAAGCTTGGCCTAGTTTTGTTGCCGTCAAGTGACTGTTATGTATTACTGTGCACTGAAATGTTTTCGATTTCAGTCTAAAAGAAAGGCGAAGACGTGCTATGTATTTGCTTTATTGGGTCAATATATGGACAGGGGATTGATTGTTGTCATATGCGGCTATATGTGTCGTAGTTCTAATACAAAATGTCAAGCTTGAAATATTTAATAGCATTACGGTGTCGCTAATTGGCTTCCTGTCTGGTCGAATATATCTTGAAGTATGTCAATAGCCATGAATGAGTGCCTCGATGCTGAAAGACAACACTGATAATCAACAAACGAACGCGATTCTTCCATACCCAATTGAAGATAAGTTTAAATCTTGATCTTAGCCGACCTTGATGCATTGCGGGTAATCTTTGTCACTGGAAATAACTGGCCAGCCTTACCTTGCTCGTGCGAAACTAACCGTACATATTAATTAAGACCGATAACTATCGATCTTCTGTTTATAAAATAAGGACAACTGAGTAGCTATAGTTAAAGTAACTAAAGTTAACAAGCTCTTCGTGCTTATTAGGTAAGTGGCTAATTCTGCACTATTCGACATGTTATATGAAGCGTTTTTCTATATAGCAATACTTCTTGTTGTTTGATTTGGGGGATGGACGCCTCGCGACAAGATAAGAGAATCGATGTTAGTCTATACACAGCGGTATAATTTGTAGCGCTATTATTAAGCTCTATGAAAGCTAGTGTTAGATGCTGAGGGTATCTTCATACATGCGGACGTCATAGCCGAAAATAGATGGAACGTTTAGAAGAACGAATGTCGTTTGCTCGACGAGCGCCATTCGGGAGAACGAGTGAAGACTATATACACTGTCATTCTGCTCGCATTACCGTCATGTAATAAATAATACAATCGAACTATTGTTTTACGTAACGTCCTCATTTGGCAATATCTTTGTACTTAGGTTACAGAACAGGTTCTTGTATTGACGAGTCTGTCGGTATGCACTGTCGTATTGGCGTGCAGCGATTATGAAATAATTAGTAAAAGGCAGGGACACAGTAGCAGCGCTGAGATTTACTGTATCAACAAGGATCATTTATCGAATATCTAGTATTCAAATTTCTTAATATTTCTACTATTATCGGCATTATTGCACACGTATTGTCTTCTCTGTAGAATGCGATCTAAATACAAATGTAGAATCAAGCTTCTCAGTGAGTATCACTTCCTTTTATAGGATTATTACTCAAGGCTCCCCGTACCTGATCTGATGAACCGGCCTCTGCTTTGGTTACGCCGTCTGAATTCGGATTAATGATTTCAAATTGTCGGCCTCCTTCGCTTTCTCATCCGACCGCTTTGCTCCGTTCGGGCCAACAGCTTACGTTCTACACCATGTAAAAATTAAATATCTCTATTGTGCCCGCACCATCCGGAAACTCGCCAAGGTCACCTGTCTCTTCCGACACCAAGCTGTTGTCCCTAGCATGGGCTATTGTGCGGCAGTGTGAAGTATACGAAGGACCTCTTTCCTCAGAAATGACGATTAGTGTCTATCTAAATCATTGTATCCGCTGCCCTATTTTCTATTTTGACGTAATTTGAATTAAATGAGGTCACCCTTTTGTGTGAATAAATTATAACCATTCTGTGGTCTCCGGATAAAACTAACCTGGTGACAGATGCGAAATTATTCTTGAATGGCGGCGTTTCAGTTCCGTGATGTAGCTTTAAAGCATATACGTAGCGTGCCTTCGACCTTTGTCGCTTAACGTTGGCCGCTCTAAACAGAGAATAACTGACATAAAACGAGAGCAAGACACCCTTGACACAAGCGCTTTACTGCCGTAAGCAAACGTTTCGACCGGAAATGTCACATCGGACTGGGAAGATGATCCGTTTCGGTGTGATCGTTGTAGTGATGCTAATCGACCTTGATTTTGATGCCGCATCACAATGCGAAGAATCGACCTCGCCATCCGCCAGCGTCAGTCCAAAAACGAGACACTGAGTATATAATTTATTATATAATAAACATAGTTCAGTTTAGTCATTAATATCCCTCTGTTAGTTGTTACTGTTACGTTGAAGTTTGCTCGTACACCGTTGGTCTTTAACACGTTACTTTAAATGATTGAGGCTTAAACGTGAAAACTTTCCTACGTTTTCGTTACAAGCTGAACAGCCAAATATAAATCCGCTGCTAGAAATTACCCGTTACTTTCAGCTGATTCGGTAGCGGCCCGTAATTACACGCTGGAAACGACAGGAACACGTGGACTAATCAAGCGATCGGTAAGGCTCACGTCGACCAGCCCATACTACCTGTCTGGTTGAAAACATATAGCCTGAAATGTGTGTCCAATGCGTTTACGTGTCACACGCACAGTGTCAACGACGGTGACATATTCGAAAGATAATTACTGATTTGGAAATTACACACAGGCAATAGGACTGCTTTGGAGAGAAAATCGAAATCTATGTAGCAGACGTTGTTCGTATAGCTTATTTTTTAGCCTTCAGCTTGTTGATACATGGAATTTGAATCCGCTGGTCTGAAGCCTGACGTGGACGCGCTTCGCTCCACACTTGCAGCCAGTCACCTCAAGCAGTGCTTAACGCTAGTACCGGACGCATAACTCGAAACGTCTATTGATTGTCCATGACTATCTGAACAGTATCTGAGGTGATTAAATGGCGTAGCAACTTGCATAAACAAGAAAAAAACGTCCATGCTTTCGGATAAAGCAAATCTTTCTTCTGCTCGCCACGGACACTGTCATTCTTCAGGATGGACGCATGGTCGAAACGAGGACATACATATCCGCTGCGTCATTTACAGATGGAAATTTTGTCCGATTGCGTTCATTAAGGATGCTTTATTATCTAAATTATCGATTCACTGCACTTGTTGCTCGTAATAACGTATTTGCCACTAGATCGTAATTAGAACGGGACGCACGCACATCTAGACATGCGTTCGTTGTTTTTGCGATAGCAGCGATCTGCCCTCTGCTTTAGCCACCAGTATAGATTTTTTTCGCTAAGCGAAGTATATTCTTGATATGGGGTACTGATCATCCCTGATGCCGCTCGTCCATCGCGGGGCTCTGTCCGATAGATTGGCTGCCGCGCTCACAGTGTTATTATTTTATATTCAGATACCGTATATAATGGTCGCAGATATGATAACACTTTTTCTACCCCATGATTAGAAATGCTGAATTTCGAATAATTGATTAAGCCGTGCTGACAAGCCATTTGTAGAGGAGGTTTATTCAGTTTCGAAAAAAAATATGCATACCCATTATTGTTAGTTAGTTAGTTAGTTAATGAATTACACACAACGTGCATCGTTTTACAATATGTTACCTGCCGTTTTAGCTGCCATCATCTCCTTGTCTTGTTATCTACTATCTGCATAAATAAATCTATACAATGATGTACGATCCACAGAGATAATGGCGTAATTTATTTTTGCGGCTAGTGGTAAACTACTGGGAGCAGTCGAGGTAACCGGCCAACATTCGTTTGCGTCAGCTACAAGATGAAAATGTTTACCGTTAGCTTAAGCTAGTACCGCTTCATGGTACATGGCCTTGACCTAACCGTACCGAGACGCTGCCATAGAGCCACAATAACATCAGGGACCTTCCTACGTTGACCCCAGTGAATTGGTGGGCGACGACGCCAAAGTGGCCCTGTATCAAATTATATTTGGCTAAAAATTAATGGGCGCGTACAGATGGTTAGCGTACGTGAACATGGAACGTTTTCTCACCAGCTAATATTCTATGGGAACTAGCTTAACCGCCGCTGGGCTGGTTTTTTCGGCTCGGGTCGCTTTAGGCGCTATGTGCGCATGCCCCCTATTCGAAAATTTCTAATACAATCACTCTCTTGACGAAGCCAGTTGTCTCTATTCTGTTTAGTTGTTTAGCATCTATGTGTTGTTTTATCAGGGTCAGAGCGTAGCCCTCGTCTGTCCAGTGCACCGCTCAATCCAAAGGAAGGACCATTCGTCCGACGCACCCACGGCCCAGTTAATACGCTTTTCTCTTTCAGATTAGTTGTGGAAATAGATAGATATAGAAAGCTCATATCTGACAGCTTTGTTAAATCGTTAGAAGACTAAGTAACAATATATATGGAGATAAACAGATATATTGATATTATATAATTATTTGATAGTGACAGGATGGCAAGGCAGTCATACAAGTATGTTGTGCGATGATGTGTTTACTGGTTTTCTAGAGACAGTCCGATATAATGGATGCACAGTAGATCCACACATTATGTTGTAGAAACCTATTATAAAACGTGTCTAGAAAATAGTTTTAAAAACTGTGCGAAAAATTTAAATTGGTTCTCAAATTCAGATTTACCCAGGGTACCATCTAGTGTGTAGCTTGTGAGCTTCTAGACACGGCAAAAAATATAGATGACTGGAATATGATTATTCACGCATAGACAAAGCTTCGTGTTCAGGGTGTGTCATAATGCCTTACAACGAAGACCGTTAACATCGCTATGAGATTAATGAAGCGCTTGAAATTGAAATACGTCAACGTCCATCTACGTTTGGGACGAAAGTAGTTTGGACCTTTGCGAGTTCGAGTTGTGCGTGACGCCGTTAAAAACCTGTAATTGTAAAATTTGCTTCACTTTCTAAATACAGTCTTTCACGATTAAGTAAAATTTTCTCCAAGATCGTCGTGCTAAGGTAAACAAAAGTATTCAAAACGGCGCAGGATTATTAGGGCTATGTATGTAAGCTGGTTGAGCCTAAAAAGGGCTACCAAATAGAGCCTCTGTTCCCTTGATGGCGTTTACTAATTTTTCTACTGTTTCAGTTGTTAGCAACTTAAGAAACGTAAAAGGGCGCTCTATTAAGCTTACTTGTTATGATTAGCCAGCAAGCGTTAACTTTAGTTGCTGTATCATAGCCTCTCGCGGAACAAATCTCCCGCCGGTTGCGGCTTCATTTGGTCAGCGAAAGAATATGGCTTGGCTGCAGTATATTTCAGTTGCCAAAATCCTATAGCGTGGTCATCTGATGATAAGCTGAAAACGGGCAATTGCAACACAATGCATTTTGACCAGAGTTCACGGTCTACAGCTTTCACCGGCTGTGAAAATAACGTGGCTTTTCTAACTCATCCTTCATTCGCTTGCCCCAGGTCAACTCGGCTTGTTGCAATCTGTTCAGCAGAGCCTATAAAAATTATACGATAACATCAGTTTCCTACCGAAATGAAGCCGTGACATTATCGCTCATGTGTAGATGGAGAGAGCACCAAACAAACTGATAGGCAAACTCATGTCCTTGTACAAATGATAAGTTATGTCAAGCCTTTCATACTTGAAAAACAATTGGTCCTTGTTAGTGGTTAGGTCGTCGATGGGGAAACGGGTTCTGACATTGACTGCTAGGAAGACACAAGTAGAGGTAATTTGCTGCTTCAATGGGCTCACACTGGTGAATTGTGTACCAGCGGTTCGTGATCGATGGGACCCGCTCTTGTTTGAGGACGTACTGGCTATTCCCCCTTATGTCATAGTCGCACAGTCAGCGAATAGCGTTAAAAAGGATGCCCAATAAAAAAAACCCCCGTCATTTCCGATGACCATAACAAAGCCCTTCGACGGCCCCGCTGCTGTTGCCGCCGCACCAGACATATCACCAAACCAGCATGTGCGTGCATTGGTAACTAACAGTTTTTAGGAGAGGCGGCGGCGGCGGCAGGGACTCCACGCGTTTTTACTTACGCGTACCTACTGCCAAGACAAAAAATGAACGGATCATTTTAGTAGCATGAAGTATACACACTGGAACGTAGGCAATTCCATTTCTAGCGTGTGGACGGCGTTATAAGCCGTAGCCGTTGTTACCATTTTCCCATTGCTGTATTCGAGTGTTAGCTCTCCTGTGCTCACTCCTTAATCCTTCCACTTCCAAGGACATGGCCAGACTTCACATCTAGTTAGACGAAGAATGCCATATAGCCGCTATTTAAACGACGTCGAGCGTGTGGATACTCTGTGTGGAGGGACGATACGTTTCGGGGAGCGGGTCGGTGTCGATAGGCGCCATGTTTCGTGAAGTAGCCGATGATGTGTTTTGACTAGGAAGGAGACAACTATAAATAGTCAGACATTTGAAAGCGTAATGGTATTTGTAATGCACGATTACAGTACTTGGCGTACAAAGACACAAAGAAGATCTGAAAGGGATTCGAACCGGCACCGCAGATTTGTCCATCGGTGGCTAAGAAAACAACACTGGAAAACAACTAGAAAAGGAATAATGAAAAGCAACATAAAACGAATTGATCCACACGACATACGACCGATAATGTTGACCGCCGCCACTATCTTGTGCTACGTCACGGTTGTGTCAGTCATCAGCTGTGACCTTTCCTGTTTATCGATTCGGATCAAGATGTATGGAAATAATAAGTGCTCGCAAATAAACTAGAACACACATTGATTCCAATATGGTTCGTATTTTCGATCATGGCAAAAGAAACTCAGTGTTCAGGAAGTAATATTGGACCTTTTATGGTTCTCGTAATTCATTTTGTATTTTAAACGCGCTCAACTGTTAAGCAATTTATAAGCTATTCTACATATCTGTAGTACATCTAGATAGCAGTCCTATATATTATAGTTTCATTGAAACCAAAAGCCATCAATCAAACTTCTGGTGGACTTTCGCGTTAATGGCGGACCACGACGATCGGAGCAGCGTCAGCAACTGTGGTGGCCAGTATGACGCCCCTAATGACCGTGACGACTATTACATGGACATCAGTAGATACTACAGTATAAGAAACCACTGGTATCAGCACGTCAACGCCTCTACCCTTCGGGCACAGTCGCGACATTCATGCGAAGTGTACTAACTCGCCGAGCAGAGTTTTGTCAGTTGTTGTTATGACACAAGCTACTACATCTCCTATTGCTACTACTACAGCTACTGCAGTTGTATTCTGCAGATAGATTTATTTCCCCTCGTAGGGGACGTAACTTCTACTCGTAGTGTCAACACTTTCACCATCGTTGTCAGGATTTCCAGGAATGTCACGAAGATTCAGTACTGCGTTTCTGCGAATGTTGTTTCTGCTGACTGAGTGGGAGGTCGACAATACGCCGAGTAGCGCGAAAACAGTCGAGAGTTACCTGATCACTTGCGCTGATGTCCTTTCACGTTTCGGAGAGCAAATACGAAGGAAATAAAGGTAGAGAAAATATAGAAAAAAACACAAGTGAAAGCAGGACGTTTGCAGTAGAACACTTGCTCCCTTAAACAATGGTCAGCCTCTGATAGCATTCAGGGAAGAAAGAATGTTGAGTTTCCCTGGTGACAGTGGCCTGAGAAGATTCATCCGCGGAGTTAGGTCAGCAAGGGAGAGGTGATCGCGAGCGAGCCTTCATTATATTATCGTCGTTGGCATCGCCTTCTACTACGATCAGATGCGCGACTGCCAAGTAGTGTTTTGTAAGACAGGTGTCGAGTCGCTACTCGGTAATGGCTAGAAGAGAGGGTAAATAGTCGGCAAGAGGCGAACGCACGGCAAACCTTACGGCGTTCCTTCACAAGAGCAAATCCGTCCCCCCGATTTGACTGAGAATCATCTCAAGAATAAGAGACAGTATTGACTTCACAATATTTGAACAGCAACTCAGTGCAGCTCGATCGCTACAAGATCTCTGGCTGGTGATCGCGGTCGAAGGGCAGCATTTTAAGGAAAAAGGTTCGCTGTTTAGCCTATCTGCCTGTAGAGACCTGATAGAACAGGGTGAGAAAATAGAAAATAACTAGCGCTGTCAGCCGCACAGATTCCTCTAACAGATTAGATTATAGCGAAACAAAATGTTCATGCCCCCCTTCACGTTGCTAATTTTCGTCATCATTATACAGTGCTTATGTCAATATTGCAGGTGGTAAGTTGAGCTGAGTTTGCTATCAAGAGTTTTATCTATAGATGATGACCAATATAGGTGATGTTGTGTTCTAATACCTTTGGGCCAATAAGAGGAAAAAGCTCATCATGAGACGTAATATTCATGGACACTTCGAATAGAAAAAATTGCTTCCTCGCGCGAACCTTAGTGTGGAGTAATAGGGGTAATATTACTGCAGTAACCGTTAGAAATCAACTCGATCGGAAAGCCAGTTTAATATTTTTTTTCAGATGACAGTTTATTCTTCTCACGGATTCTGAAAACACATTATTACAGAGCATTAGAGCACGGATTAGAGGCCCTGTAAGTGAATTTGGCACTTTCCATTAAAAAATAGAAATTTTAACTTTTTTGGATGCGGAGAAAC